AAATCTTTGGTCCCACCTAAATGATATTTGCACTAGTGAATTTTTATTGTTATTGTTTCCCAGGGGCTGTATGCTTAAAGAATAGGAAAGCTCAGCTCCTTTGCTGCCAGGTGGGACAAACTCTGAGATGTAACATACACTGCTGAGCACCCTTGCAAGATCAGGCTGTTGCCACCACTCCAGGACTCAGCGTGAGATAGCATCTATGTTTGGCTTCCTCCCTCCTGTTATCCAAAAAGCTGGATTTGCCTTTTAGTGGGTGTGGAGCCAAAAGACAATCAAGCCAAAGAAGGACTTATTTACTGGCAGCAGGTAAGAATACCAGGGATCTTTCCCAAAGCAGTATCTCCTTGACCAGCAAAATGGAGAAAATTTTAAGTTAAGGCTTATGCACATATTCATGAAGGGACTTGGATGGTCCACAGAGTTTAAGCTTTAGTTGACTGAAGTCTCAGGGGTTAGAAAAGGTCAACATCATCCTCCCTTAGGTTCCAGCTGATCTAAGTACTTCAGGCTAATCTTTAACATTGAAACAAAACCAGGAGTCTTTACAACTGATAAATTATCTTTGCTATTCTTACTTCTCTTGCCTGATAACAGTTAGTTGTTTCTGTATTCTTTTGTTTCCTTAAATCATTTATTACTGAAACCTGTGCTTGGACTAGTATTGTGGTCAGGCTTAGATCAACACAACAACACAAGACTCTACACATGGACATCACCAGATGGTCAACACTGAAATCAGATTGATTCTATTCTTTGCAGCTAAAGATGGAGAAGCTCTATACAGTCAGCAAAAACAAGACCGGGAGCTGACTGTGGCTCAGATAATGAACTCCTTATTGCCAAATTCAGCCTTAAATTGAAGAAAGGGGGAAAAAAAACTAAGCAATTCAGGTATGACCTAAATCAAATCCCTTGTGATTATACAGTGGAAGTGAGAAATAGATTTAAGGGACTAGATCTGAAAGACAGAGTGCCTGATGAACTATGGACAGAGGTTCATGACATTGTACAGGAGACAGGGATTAAGACCATCCACAAGAAAAAGAAATTTGAAAAAGCAAAATGGCTGTCTGAGGAGGCCTTACAAATGCTGTGAGAAGGAGAGAAGTGAAAAGCACAGGAGAAAAGGAAAGATATTCCCATTTGAATGCAGAGTTCCAAAGAATAGAAAGGTGAGATAAGAAAGCCTTCCTCAGTGATCAGTGCAAAGAAATAGAGGAAAACAATAGAATGAGAAAGACTAGAGATCTCTTCAAGAAAATCAGAGATACCAAGGGAACATTTCATGCAAAGATAGGCACAATAAAGGACAGAAATGGTATGCACCTAACAGAAGCAGAAGATATTAAGAAGAGGTGGCAAGAATACACAGAAGAACTGTACAAAAAAGATCTTCACGACCCAGATAATCACGATGGTGTGATCAGTCACACTCACCTAGAGCCAGACATCCTGGAATGTGAAGTCAAGTGGGCCTTAGGAAGCATTACTATGAACAAAGCTAGTGGAGGTGGTGAAATTCCAGTTGAGCTATTTCAAATCCTAAAAGATGATGCTGTGAAAGTACTACTCAATATGTCAGCAAATTTGGAAAACTCAGCAGTGGCCACAGCACCGGAAAAGGTCAATTTTCATTCCAATCCCAAAGAAAGGCAATGCCAAAGAATGCTCAAACTACCACACAATTACATTCATCTTACATGCTAGTAAAGTAATGCTCAAAATTCCTCCAAGCCAGGCTTCAGCAATACGTAAACTGTGAGCTTCCAGATGTTCAAGCTGGTTTTAGAAAAGGCAGAGGAACCAGAGATAAAATCGCCAACATCCACTGCATCATTGAAAAAGCAAGAGAGTTCCAGAAAAACATATATTTCTGCGTTATTGACTATGCTAAAGCCTTTGACTCTGTGGATCACAATAAACTGTGGAAAATTCTGAAAGAGATTGGAATACCAGACCACCTGATCTGCCTCTTGAGAAACCTGTATTAAGGTCAGGAAGCAAGAGTTAGAACTGGACATGGAACAACAGACTAGTTCCAAATAGGAAAAGGAGTATATCAAGGCTGTATATCGTCACCCTGCCTATTTAACTTACATGCAGAGTACATCATGAGAAATCTTGGACTGGATGAAGCACAAGCTGGAATCAAGATTGCCAGAAGAAATATCAATAACCTCAGATATGCAGATGACACTACACTTATGGCAGAAAAGGAAGAACTAAAGAGCCTCTTGATGAAAGTGAAAGAGGAGAGTGAAAAAGTTAGCTTAAAGGTCTACATTCAGAAAACTAAGATCATGGCATCCGGTCCTATCACTTCATGGCAAAAAGATGGGGAAACAGTGGAAACAGTGGCTGACTTTATTTTTCTGGGCTCCAGAGTCACTGCAGATGGTGACTGCATCCATGAAATTAAAAGATGCTTACTCCTTGGAAGGAGAGTTATGACCAACCTAGACAGCATATTAAAAAGCAGAGACATTGCTTTTTCAACAAAGGTCCATCTAGTCAAGGCTATGTTTTTTCCAGTGGTCATGTATGGATGTGAGAGTTAGACTATAAAGAAAACTGAGTGCAAAAGAATTGATGCTTTTAAACTGTGGTGTCGGAGACGACTCTTCAGAGTCCCTTGGACTGCAAGGAGATCTAACCAGTCCATCCTAGAGGAAATCAGTCCTGAATGTTCATTGGAAGGACTGATGCTGAAGCTGAAACTCCAATACTTTGGCCACCTGATGTGAAGAGCTGACTCATTTGAAAAGACTCTGATGCTGGGAAAGATTGAGGGTGGGAGGAGAAGGGGATGACAGAGGATGAGATGGTTGGATGGCGTCACTGAGTCAATGGACGTGAGTTTGGGTCCACTCCGGGAACTGGTGATGGACAGGACACGAGTGAGCGACTGAACTGAACTGAACTTAGATCACAAAATGGCTTAGGCTAGAAATGGCTTCTCTTTTGTCAAACAAGCCTGGTTCTCTTTCTCCAGGTCCCCACCCCTACTGTAGCTGTTTGCACTTCCTGCCCTGCTTCCCGTCCTGACTGGTCTCACTGTCAGTACTTTCTTAGTAAATCCCTCACACATAAATCTTCATCTCAAAGAATAGTTTCTGGAGAATCTGACTTTACATGAGTGTTCACTAAGTGGGGAATATGAAATATATTAAAATGCAGTAACAATTTTCAAAGCATTTTCAACCAAGTGAACTTAATTTGAAACTGTGTACGTATTTCTCACTGGAAGATAAACCTCCAATGGGCTTAGAAACAGCATGACTTACATAGACATTCTTGGAATCTTGAAGGCAATCCTTCTGTTTTTATAAAAATTGCCTGCCTTTTGCATAGCAGTAGGTTTGACTATTTGGCCTTACTTCACTAAGTTAAACAAAAACAAGAATTATCAAATGTTTAGATTTACTGGAGCCTTTGGCTCAAGTGGCTTAATGAGTCATTGCTGACAAACCCACAAGCAGACCTGTAGCTGTATTAAGGCCATAACCTTTGTGGTGGTAAGGTGGGTTTCCCTAGTTTTATTTTTAATCTAACAACACAAGCAGTGCTGGCCACATCAATTAAAACAAGCAAAGAGTCAACCTTCAAAATGACCACAGTCCAGATGGCAGCACGGAAGCTATCAGAGTCATTTAATCACAGATTTAAATAAATCACAGATAAATCACAGATTTATCAGTGTTGTAACCCAAGTCTTTCATGTGGGTTTCTGCCACAATCTGACTGTGGACACACAAAAGGAATCTGGAATTCATGGGTACAGCAGAGCACATGAACACGGATTTGTGCCATCAACAGGACCCTTGAGTCAGAATGGCTGCTGGGAGAAGCGTGCAGCCTCCGCCGACAGGCTTTATGAAGATGGTCAGGTTGGTGACAAGGATGTTCAGAGTTCTGGCTGTTACTTCACACCCGCTGCTTGCTCTCACTGTTACCTCTTCTCCTGTTCTCATTCTTAGCTTCTGCCAAACAAATATATCAGCTACATATTCTCTTTTCTTCTGGTTCTGCCCAGATACTTTCCCATGCTCTATTCAAAAAGCCTCAGTTTCCCCCCTCAAAAGTTGTTCCTTAAGAATTATCATTTCCCCCACTCTGCCAACATCCCACCCAAGAAATCGAAGCTGCTGTGTCCCACATCATTGCGCTGAAAACCTGGAAAGGAGGGTCTGAATGAGTCGCCTGGCTCCCTGGCCGGAGGGCAGGGCCCCCATGTCTTCACACGCAGATCTTGTTGTAGACACCCTGAAATCAGGTTTAAGAGCTCATTCTCTATGGTCATGAAAGTTTACAAAATGCTACAGAGAGTTGAATTTAGATGATACAGCTACTTTATTTTCAGTACAATGTATTTTTAGCTGAAGGGGGAAAGCCATATCTTTTACAGGGTATCATGCTTGTCAAAAGCAATTGAATACTACATAGAGCTCTCAAAGAAAGGTTCGAGTGTAATCTGGATATGGTTTGGGTATCTGAAAAAACATAAATTTGACCAAACCTTCTTGTATATGAAATATAACCTAAAACATATTACTTATGGGAAAAAAATTGAAGCTATTCAAATGCTTTGATTTAAAATTGCTTCCAGCAGCCATTGACTTAGAAATGTCATTTGCCATGTAATGACTTTGCAGACTACAGAGCATGGACTTATTGATTTAAAAGAAGACTTTAATGATCTTACATAAGCCAAAAAGGCTTCATTTAAAATTTATGTGAAAGATACATCAATTGTTGGCCCAAGAACATCTTGTTTTAGACAGATAGCTGTCATTTAAATTACTGGATTTAAGAGAATACATGACATTTATGAGAATACATACCAGGCCAAGGTTATAGTAATCAAGTATCAACTTGTCTCTATAGTCAAGATAATTCAAAACCATGGCACCTATTGTTTGTTCCTATGACACATTTGCTCTCAGACCCATTCACACCATCAAGTCAGTCCAAGTCAAAATTTTTAGTCTCATCGCCTATTGCTGCATAACTAACTCTCCCAAGTTTAGTGACATAAAACAGCAACTATCAGACTGTGGGTCAAGAATGTGGAAAGGGCACAGTAGAACTGGCTTGTCTCCACTCTGTGATGTCTGTGGCCTCAACTGGAAATGTTGGATAGCTGAGCCTGGAGGATTCCCTCCCAACATGGCATCTTCACTCACATGGCTGGCTCCTGGGCTGGCTTGCTCCAAGCTGGGCTCAGTGGGGCTTTTAACCAGGGCACCTATATGTGGTCTCTCTGTGTGCCTTGGGCTTCTCATAGTGTGGCTGATAGGATACAAGAGGGAACATTCCAAGAACAAGGCTTCCAAGAGAACCAGATGGAAGCTGTCTGGCCTTTTCTGACCTTCTTGGAAGCTACACAGCATCGCTTCTGCCATACTCATGGTTTAAAGCACGCATGAGCCCACACAGATTCAACGGGAGGGGTCAATGAGAGTAGGGTCCAACGATATGTGGTCATTTTTTAAAATCACCACTGTTATGGTTTTGGCAAGATGGAAAAAATATAAGCTTGGCTTTGAGTCCTGATTCCTTCATTTCTAAATGAGTGACCTTAGGCTCTTTTCTCTTTCTTTACTTTTCACACTTAGATCATGATCAATCATAAGGTTGCTACAACATACAAATCCACATTAGAGTGCATAGGTGTTCATAAACAATTGGCTGGTTTTAAGCCTCTTTTTTTCTTAACCATATTTACCTCCTTTCTCAGGCAGGAGCATCCTCAATCTCCCTCCCATAATTCCATCAAAATCTGTTCTTGAAGCCATTGTCCAGAAAGTAGAATCTCCTGGTTGCCCTTCAGTGGCTGAGGAAGGACACGGTGACATGCTTACAGAAATTGCAGCTTGCAGAGGTCACCTACTCTACTATTCAACCATGCCTAAGCAACCACCCCTGTCCTGGGTTTGGTTAGAAATTCAAATCGCCCCTCTTGTGACTCCTGTAGGAGCCATCGAAAGACATTCTTTAAGCTCTCAGGAATTTCCTTTTCCTTTTTTTTTTCTCTAACTTTAAACATTTTATTTTGTATTGGGGTACAGCCAATTAGCAATACTGTGGTAGTTTCAGGTGAACAATGAAGGGACTCGGCCATCATATACATGTATCCATTCTCCCTCAAATAAAATGAAATGGACTTCCAGATCAGAGACCCACAGGACAGAATTTTCTGAAGTATGTTCTATTCTTTCTACTTCCTATCCCTGCCTGGTGTCGAATCAGTTGAGGTAGAGGTGAAGTGAGAAGGTTATTGTTGTTTGTCAGTTGCAAAGTTGTCTGACTCTTTTTGACCCCATGAACTGCAGCATGCCAGGCTTCCCTGTCCTTCACTGTCTCCCAGAGTTTGCTCAAACTCATGTCCATTGAGTCAATGATGCCATCCAACCATCTCATCCTCTCTCTCCCCTTCTTTTGCCCTCAATCTTTCCCAGCATCAGGGTCTTTTCCAATGAGTTGGCTCTTTGTCTGCTCTTTGCCTCAGATGGCCATAGAATTGGAGTTTCAAATTCAGCATTGGTCCTTCCAATAAATATTCAGGGTTGATTTCCTTTAGGATTGACTGGTCTGATCTCCTTGCTTTTAAAGTACACTTTCAGCCTGGCTTCTCCTTCTGCCCAGGTTCTTTATCCAAGATCGTTACCCAGATCTGCTCCAGCATCCAGAGCAGGTTCACTCATTCTCAGAGCTGAAAAACACAGAATATTTCAAATGTGAGGGGTGGTAAGAACAATATTGTATCCAACTATGATTAAAGAATACCACATTGAGTTATTTCTTCACTGTCATTGCTACAATTCTTTAGCAACCTCATTGGCCTCTCTATTGTCATTCCTGGTTTTCCCAGGCTCATCTCCATAGGAGTCAGAGCTCTTTTTAGCACCATGTCAGGCCACATACTTACTTACTTAGAACCCATGATGCCTTCCTATTGCACTTGGAGTAAAATCTAAGCTCCTTGAAACATCTTACAAGGCCAAGCATGAACAGTCATAAACATTTCTCAGATCTCATTTCCTACCTTAAAGCCAACCAGGCCTGCTCTTGTCCAGATCCTGAGCTTCGAAGGGACTTGCACTTGGTTCATTGTTCTACTGATGCTGTTTTGAAGGTTTTAATAAGTTTTGAACCAAAGGCCCTGCATTTTCATTTTGCACTGGGCCCTGCTATCATGTGGCAGGCTTTGACTCTAGCCATACAAGCCTCTTCCTGTCTTCAAACAGGCCTGACACACAGCCACTCCTACCTCAGGAATTGGCCAGTGGCTACTCCTTCCTTCTTCTGAGAAAGCTCATTTGTGAGAGGTTTCCTTGGCTGCTTCCTTCTCTCGGGTCTCCCCAGCTGAGAAGCCTTCTCTGACGATCATGTCTTCAATGTCACCTCTCCCCCAGACACCAAAGCATTCCTTCAGAGTCTGCGTCTCTGTCCAGTGTTATGCTGTAGATTTACTTAAGTGCAATTGGTTCTTGTCCCTGTAGAAGTTCTTCCCAGGGATGGGATATTACCTGGGTTGGTAATTTCTTTATCTCTGGGACCTAATACACTTCCTGGCATACAGATATTTCTCAGTTCATTTCTGTTAACACATTCCTCAGTAATACAATGAAAGTTGCCTACCTCACCAGCACATTTTAATCCTATGAACTTGGTTGTGAGAAGAGTTTAGACAACACATTTAGAGATGTGCTGCTTTGCTTTAATTGTGGTCCCCTGGCTTTTCTCAGACTGCCACATATTCCCACTTATCTTCATCTCCCTGCCTTTCTCCCTCTTTCTTTTCTCTTTCTCTGATTTTCAGTGACTATAGTTCTATGCTTTAAACATTCAAGGTATGAAATGTTGAGATTAATTTTCTGACTTTGGAGAGAGAAACAACGTAAGTCTGAGGAAGCATCAAGATAATCCCCCAGTTCACCCTGAACTGGACAATCTCAGCCGGGGGAGATGCAACTGCCTTGGGTCCTGACTGCTGGCGCATGGCCTGGCCACAACTCACAGAGCAGCATGGACCTCAGAGCCCAGGGGTGACTTTGAGATCAGCTAGTCCAACTCATTCACATTTTGTGCTCTTTCTGGGTGGAATGGATGTCTCAGGTTAGAGGCTAAAAAATGAAGAGAGGAGGGCAAGGGAGGAGATGTAAGAGGTATACTCAATTTCTCCTAGCTCCTGAGAAGGAATTAAGTTCTTGTGACTACAAGACTAGTTATGTGTTTTCTGACTTTCTCTTAAATGTCTTTTAATTGAAGAAACGATTGTTGACATTTCCAATTGTGGAAAATTTCCAATGCAGTTTGGTATTACTGTCATTCTCCTTGTTCATTTTCAGTGAAGTTTTCTACCATTGCTCACTTCCCAGTTTTTAGTCAACACCTATGCTCTCTCTAGATGTGAGTTTTCAGTGGTCTTGTGTACCGAGAAGACAGCAGATGGCAGATGCCAGGTCATCAGGCTGCACACTGAAGCCTCCAGCAAGGTAAGATGTTCACAGGTAAGAGTGTTCAAAGCCTACGTGTTCTAGAATAGGGTCTTTGGCAGAGTTTTGGCAACATCTCATCTTTTGTTTTCTTATCCAATTTGTACCTCAGGGGAACAGAAATGTATTAATTATACTCTTAGGTTCTTGATGTACTCTCATCATCAGTCTACACATGATCCTCTATGGTTTACGTGTGGATTTTTTGGTTTTAATAATTTTATCCAATTCCCATGAACTCACCACCTGACTCAGAAACTAGAACACTGACAACACCCTAGATGTCCAGGTGGTCCTGCCCTTCCTGGCCCCTCGCCTTCCCAAACCCCAAACCTTCAGTAGCCGCTCATTGCCCTAAGTCTTGTGCTGTTCCCTCCCTTTGCTTTGAAATGCATTTCTTTTTTGAAATGTATGACATTCCTCTATGCTTCGTCAAAAGCACAACTAGTTTGGGTTTTTCTCAGTGGTGCACAAAGGTATCAAATTGTAAGTAATGTTGGGAGACTTGACCTTATGCCAGACCAGATCCTTCTGCATTAGGTTGAGCGGACAGAGCTCTCAAGCAGTAGTTGTTTATGGCCCTAAAATGACCTGCCGAGGTAGAGAGGACTGCGGGGCCCTCACCCCTCCGTGGAGGGGGGCTGACAGCACCAGAACACCCGAGCCTCTTCCTGGGTTTGCCTTTCCTCCAATAGCCCACCTGCGTTCAGGGCAGGGCTTCCAGCCACCCACTCTGTGAGGATGCTGGATTGCCCACCTGTGCAAACACAGAGCTCCCTGTCACCACGCGGCCGGAGCTGTGCAAGGCTGCGATGCGGAGTTTTGAGTTTTTAATTTCCTAATGAGAGTGACTGTAGACCTGGAAAACAGCTGTTATCCCAGGGGCCACAGCACAAAGTAATTCAATTGTGCCTCTATGATTTCTGTCTTGTCCCTCGCAATTTCCCACAAACCTGAAACATGTTTCGCTACTCACTTTCCATGTCAGGGCGATCACAGGACTGGGCCCTTGGGGAGACGCTGCAGCATGGAATGGTTTTTCACTCCGCGAATTTCAAGTGGAAAGAAGAGGATATTGAGTGACTCACAAAATCATGGTACAACATAAAGATACTGAGATTGCAAGGATAACCCTGTCCTAAGGAGGGTCCCCTGCCGTGTCCTCTTGTCACTGCTATGATTAACCATTATTAACAACAAGAGGCTGATGTGTCATAGTAGAAAGAACATGGACTTGGACATCAGAAAAAAAAATTAATTCAAATCCCACCTGAGTCATTTGCTTGTTGTGTGACCTTGAACCTCTTAGTTGGCTGATCTCAGTTACTTCCCTACTCCACAGGGTGTCATGAAATTTACCTGAGATAAGGCATGGAGCTCACAAAGCCTGTGACATAGATTGCAAGGTGCTTAATAACTGGTAGCCTTAGGCCAGGCTCTCACTTCCTCACCCTGAGTCTGCCGCGGCCCCAAGCTCCCAAGCCTCATTCCTTCTCCATTTTGATCAGTCACACTTCATGGTCAGATGAATTATCCCAAAGCAGCGCATGTATATATCACATTTTCTTCCCTCCCCTAACCTAACCCACACTCCTAAATAACAACAGAAACTTCTGTGGTTTCCCAATGCCTTCAAGATGTTCAAATGCCTTCAGTTGGCATTTCAGCTCAAATACAGTTTAAAATGAATATACCCCATTTGCAGTGTGGTCTTTTATTATTCCACACCTGAATCCTGTGTTCTAAGCAATTTGTTGTTCTCTGAACATGCCAGATACATGGCAGGCCCATCTCCAGCTCTGTACCCCATATTCAGGCTCTCCCCTTTACATAGATGGCTTGCATCCTCCTTCTCATTGGTATACACTCTGTCTTTTCCTGAAGGTGCGAATAAAGTCCCCACCTCTCTA